GATGCATACTTGAACCTCCAGCTTTAGAAACTGTAAAGTTCTCGATAAATCTCCATTCTCCAATAGGGAGATTGTGTTGCATCTGATTTCTTTTGGCAGAAGCATGATTTTTTCCATCCTAAACATGACAAAATAGCTTACATAAATATATTCTGGTTGTATGCTTAGAGATTAATATTGTATTAAGATTAAACGACACATGAATTATATGTAGACACTTTAAACGTACTTGTTCTTGTGAAAGAATGCATTCAAGAGATTAGCCTTCAAAATTGGTGTTTGATTTCCATGAGTGAAGACACTTCACGTGTACTGGACTCGCCAACTGGTTTTATAGGGTTTCACGTCGTTAAGAAAAAAAACTTTGCTTCTTTGCCACATTTTTTTTCGATGTTCTAAACATAAAAAAAGCAAGGGAAAGAGGAGATTATATATAGAGATATACGCTAAAGAATATGGAATATATGATTTTGTATTTAATAGCTAGATTTTATGGAGCTAATCACGGTCAAGATCTAAATTAAACAGCATAGCTATGTAAATTAGTTTTTATATATTAGAATATTCTCTTTTTATACTTTTGGATAGGCATATACGTGTTTGTTATGACAATATTTTCCTTGTACCGTAGTTCGAAGTTTAATTATTGCAATGTTGAAGATTTTATTGGGCATATTCCTTATATTGATCCACGTTAGAGAATTTTAAGAATATTTAGGAATAATTACAAATGTAAAATATAAGGCAATGCAGTTATTAACTTTCACGAAATTTACGTGGGCAATAAGCTTGTTATTGAAATATTTTTCTGTTTGTATAGGTCGTAATCTTTGGGATTATATGAAGCATGATCTAATTAATAATCCGGTTTACAATTGGATAACTCAGACTTTACAATCAAGTTTCGGTTATCTGTTTATCAGTATGATTGTATTTATTGGTTTTTGATTTAGAGCGTGGTAAGTTCTTCAATTATTTCTCAATATGATTATAGGTTTTGGTTTTCTTGGTTTGTCAAAGAAAATAGTTGATTAATCAAATTTATTTTCTACACACAATTGTTATGAAAACAGGTTAAATGCAACGGATAATAACGTAGTTGTATCTCGGTTTGTGCAAGAAAAAGCTTTAGTCATCAGATTGGTTTTATTCTGATTTATTTTAATTAAAAATGAAAATATTAAATCAGTGGCATGAGATTGTAATTTTTGTGCAACTATAAGGGGTAAATACTATTTGTACTTCAGTCTTAATAGATTAGATGCCATATTCAAGGGTTCCAAAAAGAGACATCGTATCAATATATTATCGCATGTATAGCGTTACGCACACACCAATATTATACTCAAAAGATAACTTACTTGGTCAGCGTTATTATGTACCCACCAACAGTATACTCAAAAGATAACTTACTTTAATATTTCTCGGTCTCTTGTAAATGCGTAACTGATGTGAAACGTTACCAATCAGAAACCACGATCGTTTTCTTAAATTATTATACTAAACGAAAAATAGGCTTTACATAAACTTTGTTTAGAAAGACGAATACAAAAAACGTGTGTTGACTTATTAGAGAATTATATCGAAACAAGTAGTTGGTGAAATAGCTATGGTGATGATCCTCCATTTCACCCTTCCTCACTTATCTCGGTGACCATAGATTAGCCCCGTAGAAGAAATGTATGAATTATGATGATGGTTGTACATATTCAATGATATAAACATTTTTTTGGTAAAACATATAACAAATTTAAATGTTGGTTATCATCAATTTATCATAGATATGAGTGTTTTTGAATAAAACAACTATATAATTTGAAATGTACAGCTCTGCACCGTCCGATGTTAAGTTCCACGTGCTCAGATTATATTAGAGAAAATCCTGAGATAATTGTTGAATGTTGTGAATTAAGCACAAAAAAACATAGTTGTGGCCATGTGCACAATAATTGTTAAATACATTTTTGCTAATCCTAGAAAAATATACCGCATGTGTCATTTGACAGATGCACTAAGATTTAAGTAAACTCAGAATCACTATAAATGCTTAAGGTGTGAGGTTTCTATAATAGTTGTGGCCATTATGATGATGATGAAGATGATGAAGACTCACATGCAGTCAAGGCCTTCCTCACTGGTGTCCTCGCTCACAAAGTCGCCTCGTGGACCAACAATTAGAGCTTCACGAGATCATGTTCGTGCGGACAATCTAAAAAGTCACATTCCTTCAGGCTGTTCATGTGGAAGAAAACATTTTCTTGAAGCAGCTAGCCCGACCATGCACTTGCTTCCCATCCATTCTCCTAATGCTTCGCGATCTAAGGTGGTTTATATTTCTTTTAGCTGTATTTTGTGTATAGGCCCCAACGTGGATTTACAAGTAAAGAATCAGTTTCTTTTGGAACAAAGATCTTAACCGGTCGTCTTCAAATACCAATTAAGTTTGGTACTCTGATTGAATAGAATATTTATGAGAATCATTGCACTTGACATGTGGAGAAAATGTATTATTAATAATTTATCTGTACTAGGAAGTGTCAGGAACATTTCAGCATCAGAGGCCAGACTGGTACAAGGAGCTTTTTGCTTGGTTCTTGAGCACAGGAATGCGAGCTTATGAAGCAGAGGTCAGTCTTTTGTGCTTTGGATATTTCATTCGTGCTTGAGGCTTTCTTTCAAAACCAGAGTTTCTTGTTTTTGTGTGTGTGTTATTTTATAAGATCGCCGGTTACAAGAGGAAACTGTTCGAAAATCTGACTGCTAAAGCAGAAAAAGTGCTGGAGATTGGTGTTGGTACAGGTCCTAATCTGAAGTACTATGCAAGTAATGAAAACGTGTGTGTTTTTGGTATGGACCCGAATCAGAAAATGGAAAAGTACGCTTGCGAATCTGCTAGAGAAGCCGGACTGAAACCTGAAAACTTTAGATTGGTGTAAGTTGTGTGGTAAATCTGTTCTACTTGTAACACCTTTCTTCCTATGATAATCCCTTGATATTTTTTTGTCACCAGTTAGGAGAAGCTATACCATTAGATAATGACTCTGTGGATGCAGTCATTGCAACACTTGTTCTATGCTCTGTCTCTGATGTTACTCAAACACTTAATGGTAATTCCCATTAAACCTCACAAGATAATCCAAGACTTTGGGGGATTGAACAATTTAATAAGTAACTTAATAAAAATTTTGGTTTGATAATTTGGGAGCCATACGTCTATGTATATTAATTTCTAAAAATTTGTGGGTCTATGGCCAATGTTTCATATCACTATATTCAGAGATCAAGCGGGTTCTGAAACCGGGTGGGATATTTCTGTTCATAGAGCATGTAGCGGCTGAAGGTGTATCCACATTTTCACATCATAACCTTTGAAAAAAAAGCTTGATCAAAAAAAAAAAAAAAAAAAAAAAAAAAAAACCTTTGAAAAAAAAAGAAACGTTAGACAAATCCAATAGTTTATGTTTTTGGGGTGCAGATGGATCTTTTTTTAGGCATGTCCAAAATTTATTGGATCCACTAGAGCAAGTAGTAGCAGACGGATGCCATCTGACAAGAAACACCGGCTTATACATTTCCGCAGCTGGTTTTGGTGGTGGCGCTGAGATCAACACTGCTTCAATCCATAGCTTCCCTTGGATTATCAGACCTCATGTTTATGGAGTTGCGTATAAGTAAATATGCAACTATGAGGGAAAGGTAATATCAAGATTCGTGTGGTAATTTATATTTTCAGAACTTTCTTGTAATATGTAACTCCATGTTAGTTTGTGGCAAGTGTCTTGGACTTCACTAAATAATTATGTGGTGTAGTGGTTGGGTTTTCATTAAATAAACTTTCTGTCTTAAGAAAATGTAAAAGCATCGGATACTTAAAAACAATTTAAACTAAGCAATGGTAAGGTCATCCACAACCGTGTTAATCATAGCTTGATAACCCAGATAAGTCTTTTATATTATTTTATTATTTTAGTTTAAAAAAAAAAGGAGAAGCCAATCATGAGTTCCCACGCAGCAATGGGACCCGTACACAGTGACGAACCCGACAGCGAAATGATCCTTACCTACGGACTGCAAGACATAATTATGACTTAAATACCTAAATTTTTTTTGGTCTCCACATATTATAAAAATAATTTGTTGCTAAACTCTTTTTTGTAAGGATCAGCGTTGCAGCTGCTCTAACCTGGTGGTAGGTAAGACGAGATCTTGGACAAAACATAAACCCATCAGTCTTGAGTTCGATTCTTACTACGAACTAAATTGTCATTTGCTTTGACCAAACGACACAGGGTTGAGCTACTCGTTGGTATCAGTTCGACCAAGGCTCCCACATTATAAATAAAAAGTACTTAAAACAATTTAAAAACATTTAGTTTGACAAATTTAAAGATTTTCATTGACATCTGAACTCGTTCCCCATAGCTACTATGTTTTATTGTTTCTGTATTCCTCATTCATAACGAAAACAACAAATGGAGAGGTATTAATCAAAAAGTTTATATATGTTGCAACTTCATCCTCACAATGGAAAGAAATATCCACAACTCCAACATATTATATCTATTCTTAGTTCGAAACAACAAATGATCTACACAGCTTTCCCTTCTCTGGCAAGGTAACAAGTAGCTTAAATCAAATCTCTCAATTCATGACTATTTATGTATACATATATACTATATCAGTGTTTTATTATTCTTGCATGCTCTCCCTGAAGTTCATAGATCTAGACATCGCTGCAGGGTTTGCTTGTAGATTGATAGAAGTTTCAGGGGCCAAGCTTCTTCTGTTACTACCCTTTGTTTCAAATCCATTGAACAAACTTATTCCTTCTGTTCTTCTCTCTGGTTTTGTCGACCATACCGCGCTATTAGTAGCTTCGCTAATCAATCTTGCTCTTGGTATAGTAGAAGCATCTTTCATTCCTCCTCCTTCGGTTTGATCTCTTGATCGTTTCCCTAAACATGGTGAAGTCTCTGAGGTAGGCCATACAGGAACCATGCAGCCCCAATAGAAAGGGATAGGGTAGCAATTAGCATTAGGAGCCGTTGGACTCCATTGGTAAGGCCAAGGGGAAGAATTATTAGGAAACTTTACTTGCGGAGGAAGTAACCCTTGATTTGTTTTGTGTTCTTGAGAAGCTGAATCAGCGGTTATCTTTGCATCTCCTGGTTGATTCTTCCCAGTCTCTGTTAATGTGGATTCTGAAGAACCGAAACTGAGGATCGTTCCCGAGTGGTTATTGTTCTCATAATCCTCAGACGTGACCTGCAAGTAATGGTTTGAAGCAGCCCATCCTTTGTTCTTGCGGCGACCTGAGCCTACGGGGACGTTTCTCATGGACCCACCAGCTGTCCAGTACCTCTGACAGTTCCTGCAGAAGTAACGTGGCTGGCTGACGTTGTAGTTGTTGTAGTAACAGAATTTGGTGTTTGTGCTTTCGCACCTCGGACATGGAAGTATCTTGTCCGGTTTCTTGAGAGTTGTTGGTTCATCAGTTGCTGCTGATGTACTTGTCGTTGTGATCTCGCTCTGTTGATCGGTGTTGGTTTTGGAGCTTCTTGGTGATAATATCTCAGATGCTGCCTTTGGCGGTTCGTTAAGATGGGGTAATATGTAAGGATCCTTGAATCTGCTATTTTCTTGCTCGGTTTTATCAACGAGAACCTAAAATTTTGCAGAATTTTGATTAGGGTTTAGCAAGAGATATGTGTTAGGGATATAAGCAAGAAAATAACCAATTCTTGGCTTTTATTAGTAATGAATGCATGGTAAAATTGGTGACTGTTAAATCTGCTACTCTTTATATCCCTAACAAGTTTTTTTGTTTTTGGAAAAAATCTTTATATCCCTAACAAGTTAGCCATAGAAATTTAGTTTTTTTTTTTTTTATGAATTATCAGGAAGTTATAAACCGAAATTCATAATTCCCTAAATTAACCAGCTTTAAGGTTTTGAGGACCATAAATAGTTTACAAAAAAAAATAGTGAATTTTTTAACAAATACAAGTTCTAAAATTTTGGGGATCCCAAATCAAGGTTTCACTTGGCAGTATCCCTTATATCACAATACATAATATTAAATTTGTTCCAAATGTCACTCGATCATATGATCCGTAAACTTTGCCTATGAAGCTTTTCATGTTGAGCTAACAAAACTTGATTCAAATCTCAATTCCATATAAGTTAATTAACACAAAACAGAATAAAGAAAAAGGACAAGAACTCGCGTGACATACCCTGTCTGGTCCTATAGAAGGAGAACAAGAAGACGAGGAAGAGGAAGAAGCTTCCTTGCTCTGGACGTTAGGGGACAACGGCGACGGATCATAATTACTCACATCTACAAGAGATGTAATTGTCCTTCCAAACAACTTTATCTCCGTATCTCTAGGTTTAGACATGTTTTTCAAGTGAAGAAATCAGGTTCCTCTAGAAATATGGTTGTGTCTGAATCGTTTTCTCTGTTTTGTTATCAGATCAAAGGAATAAAAAAAGAACAATATGAAGAGAATACAAGGGGCTGAGGTTTGGTATTAAAGACGATGGTGCGTAGGAAAGCGAGAGAGAGACCTGTGAAATTTTGAGAGCCACATGTTGTTTTACAAAGTGGGCTTTTGAAGATCTTTTTCACGCTCTTTTTGATTCCCCGTTCTAGTGCCGCTAAAAAGATTTGCCACGTCGGAATTTTTTAAATTTTTAATAAAAAAAAGAGAAACACTTGGTTCTTGGTGTTTGGCTAACAAAAGAAAAAGCATTTTCAGAATTTAGCACTTTATTAAAAAAATTGTCTCTGGAATATTTTAATGATGTAAACGCATTGAAAACGAGAAACTTACGCAAATGGTAAAAGTCAGATGTAAGTACATGAAATCGGATTTAAGTACATGAAAAAGTCATACTAATAAACAAAAACATTTGAAGTAAAGGTTTACAACTATTATCCGTATTGACTAACTGCTTGGTTGTTAGATCAAGTTCATATTAGTAAGCCAAACTCGATATTATAATCTCTTCTATTATTGACGTATGTATGCATAGTCTTGGTTAACTATTTTTGTCGTACAAACACATCACTACAAATGTATAATGGCTCTTTTGTATATATTTATAGATTACAAGATGTGGATGTAATCCGACAAGGCATAACCTGCCAGTGCCAAGCTGTGTAACCACGTGCACATGCCCCACGTCGTCTCCAAAACATCCTACATTCTCTGCCGACGTCAGCTGTAATAAATCAGGTGCGGATCAGTCCATCTTTCTTTAAAAAGGTTCGTCTGCCAGAATCTTGATGTTAGTCACGCCTGTGACCAATAAACAAACAACACATGTCAGCGAAGAGGAACATAGTTGATGTGCAGTGGCGGACCCAGAGATTAATTTTAGTGGGGTCATATGTATATAATTTTCATAAAAATAAATAAAGATGGGTTTCAAGAGGTGTTGAACCCAGATTTTTGTGGTGTCAAATGGTGCAGAATAACCATTTATGCTGCGAACTCCTTCAGAAATTCTATACAAATTTATTTATTTGACATTGTTTGTGGTGTCAACTGACCCCTCTTGGGCCTTACTGGGTCCGCCCCTGTTGATGTGTAGTGTATGCAGTAGCGTATCCAAGAGGCAAAGATGCATGGTTGTGCTCTTTAATAGAAAGTAAATTAATTTTTTTTTAAAAAGTGTTGAAAGTTGTGGTAGTCAGAGAACTATGTTCTGGTAGTGACTGACACATGGGATTTCCAGGTAATGAGATAAGACTGGACCATATCTTTTTCTCTTATCCCATTAACTCTTTTTGATCGTTTTGCCTTTTCCTTGTGTTTTCGTATTTTTCAAACTTCAACTATGCCTGCGTGCTGTTGGGGAAAACGGGACACGGCGCAGCGAAATATGTGTTCAAGTTCCCTTAACCTTGTGTGAATATATGAGGAAAATACTTCGACGATAGCAGGATATAATATAAGCGATAACTAAATGAGACAAGCACTTTTTTACGTGGAAAACCTCCTCGATGTGAGAAGGAAAAACCACGGGACCGTAGTCCACTCAACAATCCACTATATAAATGTATGTGAGTACAACCACGTCCTCCCTGTTCAACAACCTGAACAGAACAGAGACTCTAGCTACAAAGAGCTATCTCCAACACAAGAACAACAACAAGAGAGTAACACCAAAGCTTCCAAAACCGGCAGCAACCAAACGACCTCAGCTCACTAGGATTCCGGCAACCAGAGACTAATCCCACTGTACAAATCCAAGATAAACAAGTCAACAATACCTCTGCCAAATTTCAGCTCAAACAGAGAAGATCTCACCGTCGGATTTACCAAACACTCAAGACAGCACTGCTGAAGAACTGTGACGACCAGCTTCACGAAAACCCAGACAACAGAAGATCCAGCCGTTGAAATCCAAATCCCTTCGGTGAACCTTTAACCCACTGACTGAAGAAGCTTCCCACAAAATATCAGCTCAAAAGGAATCCGTTTGACCCTCCAAATCTGTCTTGACAAATCTAGACGAAAATCTGCCTCTTCTCTCTTTTCTCTCTTTTGCCTCCTTTCTTTCTTCTTGTGTATCTCTAAGAGTCTTACCACAAAATTAGGTTAAGAGACTTTATATAGTGTCTCACTAACCCCAAAGCCCAATATTAATCTCATGGATAAATATTATTGGCCCAACATCCAAGTTTGGTTATCACCAACCAAACCCAATGGGTTTCCTCCATCTAGAAGGAACCCAACAAACTCCCCCTCCGACTAGGTGGAGGAAACAGCCATTCCGGCTATCCCTCGGCATACTTCAAGCTTCCCCCTCGGTAAAGACTTTGTCATCATATCAGCCCCATTATCATCCGTATGAACTTTCTC